TATGGACCTAAACCACCACTTTAATTAATGTGATAGCTGTATGTTGACTAGAGTTGACTTAATTTTGTACCGTAGATTTGTCCTTAGATGCAGGGCTTGACTTTATGCTGCTTTTATTCCATATGATTCTGGAACTAGCTGGGAGCCATACAGAATACTCTAATGATTGCTCTTACTTATGGTATCTGATAATGATTGTTAAGGGCCAGGCAGCCTATGAATTACTGAAGAGCAACTGTGCACCAGCCACGTCCCTAAAACAGCCACTATTCTAATGACATCATAGGGAAGCAGTATAGAGCTAGTTATGCCAACACTATGCCATTCGTGCTTCATGCTGGGGAAATGCTTGGCTTGGATAAGCCAATTGATAGCCCTTTTGTTCCAACATGGTAACAGGATTCACACCTGACTCATTTTTAGCCTTATTTCCATCTCTGGAGTCAGCTCTTGAAGTCCTTATTCTTCATTTCCAATCTATCTGGAAGCAGCTCCTCAGAACCTTTGCAGCTAATTAGATCCTTTGGTATAACAGCCATCTAGCTAGTTTTGGGTCTTCCAAATCTCTTATTCTCTGTGTCTCCGTTTAACACCCTATTTCTTATGTATTCTGCCAGCCTTCTTTTCTCATGCTCAATCCATCTAAGCCAGAATTCCCTCATCTTATCTATAATTGATATCACCTTCAAATTTCTCGTAATTCATTCATTCTGAGCATGGTCCATACTTGTAACTCTGAGCATCCGCCATAACATTTTCATTTCCATTATATTCAAAATCTGCCCCGGTCTCTTCCTCAGTGCACAGCTTTCAGAGCCATACCAAAGTGCACATCTAATTAGAATCTTTTAGGCTTTATGTAAGGGGACTGTTACCCCTTACTAAAAGCCTGAGGCTGTCTGAGGCCTGTGCTTAAAGACACACACACACACACACACACTTCTCAGGTGTCCCTGCTTGCTTGTGTAAGGGGACTGTTACCCCCTTACTAAAACTCTGTGGGAGTTTTTTTGGTTTACCAGCTTCAGAAGGGGAAGGGTTCATGAGACTGACAGACCCCAGAGACAATGGAAAGCAGTCAACACTCCAGCTCAGCCTGACTGGCAGGGTGTAAGTGGGGGTTGTTCTGGCTCTCTCTCTGAGCAAACAGGGAGCTGAAAGAGCAGAGCGAGCTGTGTGCAGGAGAGGTCCTGCAAAGACAGAGATCTGAAAGAGGAGTACAAGAAGAAGTCCTGCAGCGACAGAACCAGACACAGACAGGCCAAGCAGTGCAGACCCTGTGTTGAGCAGCAGACTGGCAGTGCTCAGAAAGCCAAAAGGAACAGAGAAACAACACAAGGAGCTGGAACTGGCCAAGCAGCACAGCCTGCAGCTGGATGTGGTGAGCTACTGGGACCTGCAAAGTGTGGGGAAAGGCTCTGGACTGGGAGAGGGGTCTGGCCACTTAGAGACTGAGGCTGTGTGGTCACTGCCAGTGCAAGCGTGTCCAGCCTGCAGCCCCTTGCAGCACATCCAGGGCTTCTAAGGAAGAGACTGTGAACTGTCCTTACACTCTGCAGACTGCTGTGTTGATGTCCCTGTGCTACAGAGCAGGGCTGTGTGTTCTCATTTAACCATTCTCATTTTGTCTTATTCTTTTCTCTTTAATCAGTTGATGTTTAATAAATTGTATTTGCTTTGAACCTTATGAAGTGATCACTGGGCCAAGAAGGCCTGCAGTGTAAAGAGAGCACCTCGGAGTGGGAACACCCTAACTTCTGCCCCTAGTGACTACAAGGTCAGGGATTAAGCCCCAGGAAACCTGGGCCCAGCCTTGTTGGGGTTTCAAGGGCTCTGCTACTCAGGAGAGTGGAGGGGGAGCCCTCAGGATCAGGGAGCCGTGGGGTAAAGGAAGTGGGAGTGGGGACTCAGATCCTTTCGCTGGTTCATTTCACCGGAGTGGTATAGAAGCCAGGAAAGTTCCCCACAATAGCGGGATCATTCCCCCGCTTACATTTACATTTCAATTTGATCAGCATTCTCTTACTGCAGTATCACTCCACTTCTCTCCATTTAATCCGTGCCTCAGGAATTGTTCTACCAGCTTTTCACCTTAGACCATTTGGAGATGCTGTATTTTGTCTCTTTCCTATTTCTGAATCTTATATATGTTGTTAACTTAAAGATAGCTGCTGGGGAATGAGCAAAGCAGTTCAGACTTAGGGGACTCAAGATTACTGAATTTCAGTGATACACATGCTCCTTGATCACTTTAGGTGCTCTTGAAAATTCTGCCTCAGTCTCAGTTTATCTACAAGTAATAATCAAACATGGTATTTTCTAAAGAGCCTAAGGGAGTTAGACGCCCAACTGCTATTTACATTCATTGTGGCTGGGCACCTAACTCCCTTTTGTTCTTCTGAAAATGTCAAGTTAAGTTATACTTGTTCATAGCACAAGAGTTCTGTGAAACAACACATTAGCATGAAATGTTTATTGTTATGGCCCTGGTTCATGCACCTGGCAAAAGAGAAAAAAAGTCTTCTTGGAGTTTAGGCAGTAGGAGCCATCTAAACACTCTCAGCCAGGAGGCTAGGAATTGGCTACTTGGCACAGTCCAGAAAGCCAGATTTTAAAGTATGCCTCCCTTGAGAAAATGTGCGAATGGCTCTATGGACTGTTTTTTCCCTGGAGGTGATACTCCACAGGAATATGCTTTGTGCCTGTATTATTTTTTATTATAGAATGATGTTTGTATGGTTGGATTCACTTCAAGGAGGTCACTGGTGTGGATTACAGAGCATGACTACTTTAATTTATAGTTTTGAGATAATTTTCATCTCCCACATTAAAGAATTGTCTGTCTCAAGCTCAGCTTCATTAGGAAGCTCTGTTGGCACCCTACACTTATATTTAGAACATTTCATCCTTTCCCATGAAATCAGCATGATTATCAGTCAGCCCCTGTAGTTTTGATTTGCATTCTATGATTACAACTGAGAGTTTTCTACATTGCAGTCTTACTTGGAAAATAAGCTGTTGTTATACCTTTTACAATTTCTGAATAAAAAGATAACAATCCCTAATTTTGCCCCCCTACCTCAATCTCTCTCACACATGCACATCCCCACTTCAATCTCTCTCACACATGCACATCCCCACTTCAATCTCTCTCACACATACACATCTGGTCAGTTCAGATTTGCACAGCAGCCTATGGGCCTCATACATCATTCTTGTCCCACAAGGACTTTATACCAGGATTTTTATGGTCCCTGCAGCAGATCAGAATTGGGAGGGCACAAAGGTGGCTTAAAACCATTTTAATGTTTCGTTTCCCTTTGGGCTGTGAGTTCTGTGCTGTGACTCTTAAGAGATGCAGCATAGAATTTTTCACCTTATGTATACAGCATGGTAACTGGACTCTTGCAGAGCTGATTGCTATATATAATATAATATTACAGTGGTCCATTTTGCAAGTTAGTGTAATTTAGTATAATGGGACTAACGATTGTGAAATTGTCTTAAAAATTCACACTAAAATTGGGGCCTACAAAATCTTTGCATCAGTTATAATGTAGGATATTATAAAACTGAGTTGCCAATCTCTAGAAAGGCAGGAAGGAAACCTGTCATAGTCAAATTCAATCATTTCACACACAAAAACCCATCAATGTTTTTTGATATTGTTTGTTTTAAGATCTCAGAATCACTGCATTAATTATAAACTTCTTATTCAAAATATCAACAGCCAATTTGATTGAAAGTGATTTTTAATAGAATATTCCTTGTACATTAGCAATTCAGAATAATGAAGGCTTTTCTATATTTTTTTTCTTTTAGCATGAAACAAGCTTATTCTGCAAAAGCCATATTCGCACACATACCACGCATACATGCCCTATGCCCACATGCAGAGTAACACATGTATTTGCTCCCCTGCTAGGAAAACATCAAAAGATCAGCAATATAAAAAATTATTAACAATTATAGTTTTGAACTCTTAGGCCTGGTCTACATATAAAAATGAGGTCCGTTTAACAACATTAATTGAGGGTGTGCAAAATCTACACCTCTGAGTGAAGTTGTTAAACTGACTTAAGTCCCTGTGTACTTAAGACAGTACTAGGTTGATGGAAGAATTATTCCACTGACCAAGCTGTCACCTCTTGGGGAAGTGAATTAACTATGCTGACAGGAGATTTTAATTAACCAGAAAAAGGCCAGGGACCATTACTGATAGGCTATGTCTTCACTGGCAGCTTCTTGCGCAAGAACTGTTTTGTGGAAGAGTTCTTGTGCAAAAAGTTTTCCACAAGAGCGCTTCTACACTGGCATGTGCTTTTGCACAAGAGCATCTATGGCAGTGTGAATGCTCTCTTATGCAAGAAAGCTCTGATGGCCATTTTAACCATAGGGGTTTCTTGCACAAGAAATTCATGTTGCCTGTCTACACTGCCCTCTTGCACAAGAATTCTTGCGCAAGAGGGCTTATTCCTCATTGGGAGAGGAATAACTCTTCCAGAAGAAGCCCTGTTTTCAGACGCTGTACTATAAATTTACTTGCGCAAGAACGCATGTGCAGTGTAGACACCTGGCAAGTGTTTGCGCAAGAACAGCTGTTCTTGTGCAAGAAGCCACCAGTATAGACATAGACATAGTATACTATGGATTATCATACTTGCTAACAAATCTAATAGATCTTTTTGCAAGCCTGTGCAGCCTTAGCATGACTAAACCAGGAGAATTAAGAGAATTAAGTCTCTTGCTCAACCTTTGCCTGACCCTGCACTCCACCCTGATGACATCTCTGTTGGAAATGCTGGGGTCTGTGTTTTAGGAGAAAAACAAAAAGCTTATCTGTATTTGCCTTCTTGGATGTGTCTGACAGGACCTCAAGGCATGTAGACCTTTCAGGAACACATCTGGCTAATTACTAATCTGAGGAAACCTCTTGCTTAGCTTTCCAAACTGCAGACCTAAGAAGTTTTTTTGATTGACATGCTATTATCTTCTAACAGGGATAAATGAGCGGGAAGAAGCTTGGACTTGTTGGGATCAGTCATAGACTCAATTTGGGATCCCCTATTGAAGCTGAATGTAGGACCACCTTGAAGGCTGCTGCTATACACAAAAGAGCCACACCAAATTTTGGTAATTTTTGAGTGTTGAAAGAGTTTCTCTAAACTATTGTGGATGTGTGTGAATGAGAGCTTATTGTACTGTTTGTGCTACCCATCTATTATTTGGATGACCTTGTCTCCACTGATTTATTTCTTCAAAGGGAGTAAAGTTACAAAGAATTTGGAAGAATCCCAGGTAATATCATCAATGTAGAGATTGTCTATATTAAAATGTTACAGCTGTGCAGCTGTGCCATTTAAAGTGTAGACAACCTCTTAAAGTATGTTTAGAGCACTTCATTGACTATCCCCACTCCATTTGACTTTCTCTTTCCTGCAAATACAGCCAGTATTGACAGCAAAATTATAAAACGTCCCAAGAACCTCCATCACACATTCTGTCGTTGCTCTGTTTATTCATAGGAGGAGCTCATTTTAAATATCCACAAAGCCATTTCCCTGTCCTGCTTCGTATACCATCCTTAAAACTCTTATCTGCTGTGGTGCCTATAAAACACCCTGATCAATGGTAAGGCAGCTGGCTTCCCGTGAACACTGTTTCTTGTGCTGACTAGTATAGTTCCATTCTTTCTTTGTGTGCCACTCCAACAGTTTTAGTCGCCTGTTGTCTTACACTTAGACTGTAATCTGTTCAGACCAGAGCCTATGTGTTACATATCTGTACAGTGCAAGTAACCTAAATATATAAATGAATAATAATAATGCCAACAGCAACTTTAAACAAATGAGCAATCCTAATGAAGTGGTTTCCTGAACTGAAGCTTTTATACTCATCTAATAGGTCACACTGAGGAATTTCAAAAAAATGTATCATCCACAGAATAGATTCATGATGGAAAACGATGATGCAAGTTTCTAATCACTGACATGCAAATGTGCCTTACTGCTGACTTGGAGAAATCAGCATAAATTCATTCTTAGTGTCCTTTCTGCTGAGGCTATCAGCATTGCCAACTTGTGCCAAACATGATGGCTCCCTTTTGAATAGACACTTATGTGATTGGAAATGGACTGAAACCATACATTCCCTTAACAATAGGCCTACAAACAATAACTGGAGGGAGAGGACTGTCACACATTACTAACCTATTTTTGTTTCAAGTTGAAGATTTAGGGCCTCATCCAAAATCAACTGAAAGCAGTGGAAAATCTCCCATAACATCAATGACTTTTGGATCAGATCCTTAGAAATATATTGAATGTACCAATGTTTAAGCACCTCAAAGAAATAAGGAAGTGGTTGCTAAACACTCACCCAGAGAAATGTTAGGAACTATTTTATTATTGCAAAAAACAAATCTATTCTCTGTCATGTCATAAAGAGATGGCCAAACTATTTTTTTAAATATTGGCTTTCTTTATGGCTATAGAGTAATAAAAAGGAGTCTTTTGGAACACATTCTGTATCCCAAGAGGTCCAATTTTCAGATTCATGGCAGTTTTCCTTTTCTAAGACTCAGCTTTCTTGTGTGTACAAGTCCCTTTAGCATATCATGTGGCATTTCCTAACCTTTAATAGTAAGCTTAAGGGCTGTAAAAAATTATTTCACTCTTCTGTGTTTTATAAAAATGCTAAAATCTTTCAAAAAGAAATCTTGTAATTCTAACTCTTTTTAAAGGGTACTTAGAATGTTGCTTGGTTATTAGTATATTATTCACTTGAAACACACAAAACAGCCTTCCAGTATTTCTCATAAATTAGAATATTTTTTTTAATTTAAGAAGTCTAACAGCATGACATAGTCTAGAAATAATTCTGCTAAATATTTGATTTTTAATAGAACAACAGTAATATTTTGAACTAAGCATAAATGATAGTGCTGGTCCCGGAAGTGAAAGGACCTAAGGCAAAATTTGCCTGGCAGAAGAGCGTTGGCTCAAGGTTCTCTACACCCTTTAAACTCTTCATAGAGGCTACTAGCTGAGCAGCTATACAGAAATGTTTATGCTTCCATTGCATGCTGCAGAACTGGTTTTAATTCCATCTCCATATTGGAGACAGGAGAAGCATGGCCCAAGGAGAGTTTCTGCAGATCTGTGTTTCTGCTGAGGCCACGGTGCCCTTGGCAACTGATACAAGAGAGGTTGAGGCTGTGAATACAACTTGCTGACTGAAGCAACATCATAGCTTCTCTCACTAAACTGAGGGTATGTCTACACTGCCACCCTAGTTTGAACTAGGGTGGCTAATGTAGGCATTCGAACTTGCAAATGAAGCCCGGGATTTAAATATCCCGGGCTTCATTTGCATCTTGCCGGGTGCCGCCATGTTTAAATCCCCGTTAGTGCGGACTTCGTGCCCGCGGCTACACGCGACACGGAGTAGGTAGTTCGAATTAGGCTCTCTAATTCAAACTACTGTTACTCCTCATAGAACGGCTCCATTTGCAACTTCGAATGCCTACATTAGCCACCCTAGTTCAAACTAGGGTGGCAGTGTAGACATACCCTGAGATTAGAAAGGGTGAATATCTACTCCCAAAATACCTGCACTCCACCTGAATTCAGTCTGGTTCTGGAATTTCTTCCCTTTCTGTGTATTAAGGGTCAATTTAATGCCACATCTACATATGGACCACATTTTTTTATGTCTTGCCTTTTGAAACCATGTAAAACACGCAAGGAGGTGATGTCCTTGGGAGTGACATAAATATGTCACTATTTTGAATGTCCTCTGGCCATCTATAGAAAATCAAGGACTACATATTCAAAAAGGGTTCAGACTGCCCTTTTTCTAGGTGCAATGTATACTAATAAAATTATAAGCAAAAATAACTGCTGGGGCAAAATTGAGTGTATATGTCTCTGCCTCAAACTGCATGATTCAACCCACCATGAGATAGTTAAATGTGTGCAAGTACCTAGTTTCACTTCTTGCAAATCAACTGTAGATACAGAAGTATGAGTTTAAACTTGAGGAAATGTAACTGGTACCTGCAACAAGTGATCATGATTTTGAAAATTTGGCCCTTAATTTACCTCAGAAATATACATTATAGAGAGCTACTGAAAATGTTTAAGAAAATGAAAAATGTTTGATTTTAGTTTAAATTTTCCACAGAATATTTACATATTAATTTTTGAGAGGTTCATACACCAAAACAAAACAAAAAATCGGACAAAACAGAAAACATTCAACTTGGAAATGCTGCTGCACTACCTCATGCCATGGGTATTGGAATTCCATTGCCTCAAACTCCCACCCATTCTTCTTTGTAGTTCAGGCTGCCTGGTTAAATTGCATATCTGATGATGCAATAATGTCTCCCCGCTCAGAGCAATCTCTGATTGGTGCATGATGGAAAATTCTAGCCATTGAGCCCCGGCCACACAGATGATGGGGTCATGAGGCTACTAAACTGTCATGAGACTATTAAATTATGCACTATGATGCACTAAACTCAAACAACAAACAATGAAATTAGACTCACAATGAAATTCACTTTGCTAAATTAGTAGATCTTTTCTTCAAATACAGCTGATGTGTTATCAAAGAGAATTAATGATATGAAAAGTCTAAAGTTGTTTAGGAACTAGAGGAAGACAAAGAAACATTAGACAAAAGACAAAATGTCAGGCAAGCCTCACATTTTAATTACCTATAACTCAAAAATAGTGTGATTAATTGTCTTCAAATTTTGCACATTCTCCTCTGCTTGAGGAGGAAATATGGTAAATTAGAGGACACACATTTCCAAAGCTACATTTATGATTATGCCAAAACAGGGCTTTATAAGGGCACATCTATACTTATGAGAAGATTCATGGTCTGGTCTAGTATAGACCTGGAAATTGAATGTTGAGAGCACCTCCCCTGGTGTCTGGTACTCCTTATTCTGTGAGGAGAAAGGGATGCTGACTGGAGCATTTGCTCCTGTCAGCCTCCCACTGTATGGACACTGCCATGGCTTGGCTTAAGGTAAATGACTCCAGCTACACATTTTGCATAGCTGGAGTTGTGTTCCTTAAACCAACCTTCCTGATCTAGTATAGACCAGGCCTAATATAGTTTGTTGACATCTTAACTCTTGAGAAGTTACCACCATTCCATAATAAAGCAGAGGAAGAAACTTTATGTCTGTGTCTAACTATTCCTCTCTCATAAATAAACTGTTCCTTTAGTCCAGATCTTTCTGACTGCTCTGAAAAGTCATGAGAATAAAATGAAGCATCATTTGAAACCAACTCAACCAAACTTTATGATGTTGATTGTCTCAGCAGTCTACACCTCAGTATGTTATTCATTTTAATCATTTTCCTCAACTTTCCATACTACTAGATTATGGAAGGTAAATTCCATATCATTCTGTTTTGTCAGTCAGTTTTCAGACAACATACTTTTATATAACAGCTTTGAACTCCCAGCTATTGCAAAAGATCAGTCCTTTGAGACAGAGTGTACAAGACACAAATATTATTTTTTGTGAGAATTATGCATTTATGTAGTTTTAAAATCACCTTAGTAGACTTGTGTTCAAGAAAGATGTATTATTGCTGCAAAAAATCTGGGTCCCACTAATAAATATGAAGAACTGTAACTCCAAATAGGATGAAATTATTTGACATTAAAATACTTTTTTGCTACACTGAAAACTCCCTTTCTCTACCCAGTGTAGGCATGGAATACTATATATTAAAGATATACTGCATTTTGTACAATGTTAAAACAGCAGTAAGGCCAGATCACGTTTTTGTTGTGTTTTATACAGACACATTCTCAAGTGCATGTGTGCGTGCGTACACATACACACACACAGTCAACGTCTGTACTTGATACTTTATTACTGTAACCATTCACAGTTCCAATTCATTGGGGTCACTTTCAAACAAAGTTCACTTGAGGGCTAATGATGCCTTAACAGTTTTTTCCTTCATAAATGTGGCAGGGTTAGTAACTATGATCTTGTGACACAACCAGAGTTAAATGAACCTGAGCAAAATGCCCTTAGAGATTTAGACTCAATAACATTATGAGCTATTCTGAAGGAAAGGACAGCTTAAGGTCACTTGTTTTTACTTGGATAATTTGAAAAATACCCTATTACATGTATTGCCAAGATTATGGAGGATTTTCTTTTTGGTGCTTTAAAATATTCTTTAACTTTTATATTTATTAAAGACAATTTATTATTTATTTTAAAAAGACATGGAAATAAAAACAAAGACCTGTTTCATCTTTCTGGAGCAAGGTATGAAAAAGGTTCACATTATCAAAAGTTTTGGGTGTGTTTATTTTTGGATGCCTACTTTGAAACAACTTAATGGGACCCAATTTTCACAGGACAATCCTCTGAACTTAAGGTATCTTGGATTCCCCAAACTTGCAGGACCATAAATCAGTTCACCCACAGACCTGGATTTTGAGATTTATGGGGCTTTGCATGGCTGCAACAATACATTTGCACAGATCATAATACACCTTACCCCCTGTGGGATGAGTAATATTACAGATAAAGAAGTTGAAGCAGACAGAAACTAAGAGGACAACATGTTCAATAGTAGATACTAATTGTAGGTGTTCTGCTTGAATCACGTTTGACCTGATTTCCAGTGTAGCTGACCATCCACAGCACCTATTTATTTCAACTAGTGTTGTGAGAGCTCAGTGCCTCCTAAAGCAGGCCTTATTTGTATCGACATGGGAATCACAAAACTCAGGCACCTAAATTAGTTGTCAGATCTGAAACTGTTAGTCTAACTTGTCTAAATTAATATATCAACTTGGAGACACATTTAGGAACAGAATCAGGTTCAATGACTTTCTGTCCTAAGCTGTATAGCCATATGCCTGCTCTGATGGCCATCACAGGACTGAGATTCAGGAGATATGGATTCTTAGATGAGACTTACATTAATGCATCCTTGGACTATTAAATACGCTATGCAGTTTAATTGGGAGATAGATAAATAAAACTGCATTAGAGCAGATAAATAGACTTTTAGGTCGGCTCAATCTGAGATATAGATGGGTTAATTTTAAAACATGTAGATATTGTAGAATTTTGCTCAAAATTATGATGCTCTAGAGAAAATGGTGGATATCATTAGATGACATTTTTGTTACTAAAGGAGATGACTAAGATTTCAGAATCCTAGAGAAGTCTAGAGGAGATGAAGGAATAGGTAAGAAAAAAACAACACATGCAGTGTAGGCAAAAATTTATTTGAAAACCTATGTCCCCATACAGATACTGAGAAATAAGGTGGAGCTGTAAAAAAATACAGTATAACTATACTTCCAAAGCTAAAATCTAGGGGTATGTCTAGACTACGTGCATCTGTCGCCAGAGGCATGTAAATTAGACTACCCAACATAGTCAATGAAGCTAGGATTTAAATATCCCTGGCTTCATTAAAATAAAAATGGCCACCACGCGCTGCCAGCTCAGCTGATTGTCTGCACAGCGCAGCAATCAAGACGTGGATCAGTTACAGGGAATACCTTTGTTGACTGCTCCTGTAAACCTCGTTTCACGAGGCATAAGGGAGCGATCGACAAAAGCGTTCCCTGTTGACCGATCCATATCTTGACTGCATGCTGTGCCGACGATCAGCTGAGTCAGCACAGCGTGGTGGCCATTTTTATTTTAATGAAGCCAGGGATATTTAAATCCTAGCTTCATTGACTATGTTGGGTAGTCTAATTTACATGCCTCTGGCGACAGATGCATGTAGTCTAGATATACGCTAGTAAATTAATGCAAAGTAAGTTAAAATATTATGGAAGTTCTCTATTTATGCTTCAAAGTTCTTCCAGAGTTTAGATTGAGAAATCATAATTATATGCCTAGGAAATAAGAACTCAGAGAGTTTATGCTGGTGAAAAAGAAAAGACAGAAGCTCAAATGGTAATCAAAAAGTCCTGCTCTGTAAATTCTTCAAACAAAGGGAAATAGAAATGTGGTACTATGCAGATCATAAACAATAATGGAGCTAATATAAAGAAATAGGCAATGTTCAAATGAATTCCTTCACTGCCCATTCTATCTATTTATATATTTTACGGTATGACTGTCTGTGAGTCTGTTTGGTCAAGAACTCGTTCTAAACAGTAAGAGTTTGGGTCAAACAATTTGGTATGCAGATTCCTCTTATCCTAACTTAAAGAAAGATCAGAGTTTTATCACGTCAGGCAAACAGG